CTAAAGTATACTTTTTTGTTGCTTTTTTTTTGGGGGGGTGTCTTTTATTGAGACAGGGTCTCCCTGTAGCCCCAGCTGGCCTGGAATTCCATGTAGACCAGCCTGGCCTTGAACTCAGAGATCCACCTGCCTCTGTCTCCAGAGTGCTGGGATTAAAGACGTGCACCACCATGCCGGCTAAGGTATAAGTTTTTAAAAACAGATTTAAATAATCAAGCTTTAACTTCCATTGTTATATTTTTTTGTATTATTGGAAATGCTTATCTTAGAAAATGAGGAAAAGGCCCCAGGTCACTATCCTGCTGTCCCCAGCCCTGTTACCACAGTGAGCACTGTAGCCTGGGCCCTTCTGACCTGCCTTCCGAGGATGCTGATGTTTACGCTGAGTGCCCAATGTGACTGTCCTGTGGCCCTGCCATGGGGTCACTTCAGCTCGTCTTTGAGCAGAACTTGGAAACTTCTTGATAAATCCTGAGTGCTTCTGCTTTACTTCACCCACCAGCTGTCAAGGACACAGTACAAGGGAAGTCTGCTTCCTCTCTCACCCCTCCTCCCAGCCGCCCTTGCCCTTGACCTGAGGTCTTGCCGAGGTCATTTTCTTGTAGCACTTTTGGATTCATTCTGTGTACATAAGCACCCATTCTCCTCCTGGGTGTTTCCCTCACACCTGTGTACAGGTTCTGTACCTTTGCATCTCCCCCTCAGCCTTGGAGATCGGCTTCACAGACATGTGTAGTCCATCCTGCCTGCTTTTTATGCCTTCTGCTAATCCTTCAGAGGCATATGGCTTTTTGGTGGTGCCTTTCCTGGTTGTAGTTTGCTCTAGTCTCCTGAAATCACAGGCAGTTTGGCAGCTGCCATCCGAGAGCCTACAGAATTCGCATGTTTTCGCGTCTGGGTGATGAAGTGGAGTGGTGGAGTCACTTGACTGCCAGCGCTCTGTTTTCTCTCCCCCCTCTACCCTTCATGTTCCTTTCTTCTTCTCTCTCTGGGCTCAGGATTCTCTTTCTGAACTTTATAGTTATAGCAGGATTTGGGGAGTCTGCTTCTTGGGACTCCATGGGTGACTGGCCCGAATCTTTGCTCTACTGAACTTCCTGATGAAGAAACAAGCTTGGCATGTTATTTCGTTTTTCTTTGAGTTGGAATTAATCATTTGTGCCTAGGAGTCCACCACCACAGAGGATGTGATTTCTGTGGTGCCCTCTGCCCCTTCCCCTTTATACAGAAGTCTCAGACGCTGAAGACCCAACTTGCCCTTTTGGCGGTCACTGCTCAGCTATGCTGCACCTGAGCCTCCCAATCTCAGTTTGTTCCTCCCAAAATGGAGCAACCCATGCCCCCCTCGTAGGACTGCAGCCTGTCAGTGAACAACAAAAGGCATCTGCTGTGGGCTGAGCAGGGGTAGGAGGGAGGTGCTCTCCTGTCCCCATTTATCCTCGTTCCAGAGCTCTGAGCTGGATGAACTTCAGGGGCTCCTGGGAGCTCAGCCCCTTTTAAGATTTCAGTCAGCCAAGCTTTCTCTAGATTGTTGCTTTCTTTTTTTAGGTCTTTTTGAGACAGGGTCTCCCTGTAGCCCCAGCTGTCCTGGAACTCACTATATGGACCAGGCTGGCCTTGAACTCACAGAGATCCACGTGCCTCTGCCTCCTGAGTGCTGGGATTAAAGGCGTGCGCCACCACGCCCGGCCTAATTGTTGATTTCTTATTGTATATGTCTCATCTGTTTTCAGAGTTAGAGACCTTCCCTTTTCTTTTAAAGGATGATATGGGTGATGATATGGGTATGGGTGATGTATGCCCCTCTGGTCTCTGTCTTTTCTGTCAAGCCTATATTTTGTAAATGTTTACGATTTCTACCTTGGAAGAGTTGCAGGGAACCCCAGGCTGGCTAGTCAGAGCCACCTGCTTATGTGACCTGGGGCAAGTTCCTTTATCTCTGAGACTAGCTTCAGTTTTCTCTCCAGTAGGAATGGTCAGAGAATGGGCGCGGGGGTAGGTGACCCAGATGCTCAGAAATGCTGCAGTTCCTCCTGATGCTCTTTGCTCCATTGTTGTGGGCTCTGGTGGCCTGAGGCATGTTACTGTGTGTCTAACAAGTGCCTCTGCAGCCGTGGGAACAGATGGCCATCAGCCACCATTCCTTCAGGATTTTTAGGGAGATGGAATGCCTTGATGGCGTCAACCACAGTCATTCTCACTGGGTTCCTTGGGGCCCAGGTTCTGCTGGGGTCTAGAATTGAAGGGAAGGCTAGGCATGTACTTTCCACAGTAGACCCAGCCCACTCTTGTGGGCCTCAGCCCTACTGTCTCTGTAGCAGCTCCTCTGCAAGGTTTCCTGAGTGCTGGCACTCAGGAAGCACTTTCCCAGGCAGCTAACATTTAAGAAGTAGTAAGGGTGACCTCAGCTGAGGGGGCATCCTGCTTGTGTGGAGGTCACTTTGTGACTGTCTGCTTCCAGAGGCTATGGGGACCCCAGCTAGCTGTGGCATTTATTGTACCCTCTGAGTGCCATGCCATGCCAGGGCTGGGAGCTGAACTGCTTTTCTGTGTTTATACCTCTACCAGACAACAGCTCTTCATGAGAGGCTGTCAGCTGGTGGGCAGCAGAGCTAGGCCTGGGTACAACTTTTTAAAAAAAATATTTATTATTTTTATTTTATGTGTATGAGTGTATTGCCTGCATGTATGTGAGTGCACCTGTGTCATGCAGTGTCGGGGAGGTCAGAAGAGGGCTTTGGATTCCCCTGGAACTGGAGTTAAGGACAGTTTGTAGCCACCATGTGGGTGCTGGGAATCAAACCCGGGTCCTCTGCAAGAACAGTCAGTGCTCTTAGCCGCTGAGCCATTTCTCCAGCCCCCCCTGGGTACAACTTTTTACTTTATTCAATCCCTTCTCCAAGGAGCCTGAGTAGGTAAACTGCAGGTCCCTGACCTTGCCTGGTCCCAGCCTTCTCTGAACTTTTTCTAAGAATGTACACATAGGCCATCTTGGTCCCTATGGGTATTCTAGTTTGCCTTCAATTGTTGTTACAAAACACTCTGACCAATACCATCTTGCAGAGGAGTTTATTCAGCTTACATGCCCTGGGTCACAGTTTATCACAAGGTAGGAACTCAGGGCAGGAACCTGGAGGCAAGAGCTGAAGTACAGGCCATGGAGGAGCACTGCTTACTGGCTTGGTCCCCCTGCCCGTGTGCAACCTGCTTTCTTTTACAACCCAGGACCACCTGCCCAGGGGTGGCACCACCCACAGTGGGCTGGGCACTCCCACATCACTCAACAATCAAGAAAATGCCTCACAGACATGGCCACAGGCCAGTCCAATGGAGGCAATTCTCCATTGAGACTTCTCCAGTTGAGGCTCCCTCAACCCAGGTGTGCCAAGTTGACAACTAAAGCTATCCAGCACAGTGGGTCTTGGTGGCTTTGCCCTAGTACTTTTCCCTGAGTGACAGGAGTCCACACTTAGGGTGGGAGAATGGGAGCCCAATTTCCCATGGACGATTGGGTGAACAGATAGAAGAAAGGAGGGAAGGACAGTGTGAGTGGGTGAGGGAGAGCCTACCTGACCTGAGTCCCAAGGTTGGGGGTTTGAGAGAGTGCACCCTGGGGAGTGGTGAGACCTCCCTGTGTGCTGGACCTCACCAAGATGAGTGCCGACTGGTGCTTGCAGTAAGAACTGTGGGACAGGTTGATGAATGAAGGTGGGCTGTTTGTGGTGTGCTCTGGGCAGATGCACACAGACCCCAGGCTCTTAAATGGTATGAGTGAGACATGTGATGAATAGTGGCTGTGGGACTGTGTAAGAAATGCAGAGGGTACAAAGGCAGGCTCCTTCCACTGTGAGAGGAAACATGAGATATTTTTCCTCTTCTGCGTCTGACTTATTTAAGAGAATGATCTCTGGCTCCATCCATTTTCTTTCAAAAGGCATACGCTGTTTTCTCTTACAGCCGAATAAAATTGCACTGTGTGTATGTTCCATCGTTATGCATTCAGCTGTTGATGGGCCTCTAGCCTAGTTCCATACTGTGCCTGTTGTGACTAGTGCAGCAGTAAATATGGGTGTGCAAGTACCTCTGTGGTGTGTTGATGTCTATACTCGGAGGACTGTGAGAGGGAAGGGAGAGGGGGGATGTGGGCAAATGAGGGTAATGGAATCTGTGTGCCCTGGAAGTGGAAGGAGGGACTACTTGAAAGGAGGAGGGGGACCGGCAGGCGGGGAAAGTCTTGGGGGTGGGGAGGGTAAGAACCAAATATAGTGATGTATATGTGGGGAAATGCCACAATGAAACAAATTTCTTTGTATGCTAACTACAAATTAGTAATAAAACACAGAAGCTATATTGTCTACACAGAAAAATAGATACCGAGAAAAAATTTTGGAGCTTTGTTAGGCACAATAATTAACATCCCTCCAAAAACCTCATGAAGACCTCCCCCAAAAAACAGTTCAGGCTATGAGGGATGTGGTCAGTTAGGGACCAAGTAGTAGGCAGTAGGGGCCAGACATGACCAAGATTGGAGAAGTAGAATTGGGAAAGGTTGGGGCCAGGGAATCTGTGGCTTTCCTGTGCATGAGTGTTGCGGGGCTGTGTGTGGTAGTCTGTGGCAGACCTAGGAGCCAGGCCAGGTTCATAATGAGGTGGAAGTTTTGGAGAGCTACCTGTGACGGTTGAGGTGAATAGAGGAGCTTTAGAGGAGTTTTGGAGCTATCTGGACTTGAGCTCTACTGCTAAAGGCCCAGCCCAGGGCTAGGAAGATGGCTGCTGTGGATCCTGGGAATCAGCCATCCCTTCTAGTCTGTGGGTGGTGTGTGGGCGGGAGGCTCAGGGCTCATAAACCTTGTTCTTCAAAGGAGGTCCTTGAGGTTGTTGGTGTGAGATACATGGCCTGCTGTCTCCTCATGCTGCTCTCAGCTGGCCGTAGTGAGTGTTCTGGAGAAGGTGCTTCCTGCCTGCTGGAGTAACACTCATTTTCTTTGTTTTCTCCACAGGAAGCGGGGAATAGAAGTCGTGCAGGTGAGTACAGACCACTTCTTCATGTGTCCATTTGGTGACCTAACAGCACTCATTACCTGTCCCCTTCAGAGTCTGGGTGGTAGCTCCCTTTCCAAAGGCACCTGGATTGTGACGTCCCCCTGAGGATCTTACATAATGTTTCTGTCCCAGGCTGGGCACAGGCTCAGGCTGGTGGGTACTTGTGTCTGGGGAGTTACAGTGTATGGGATTTGGAAAGGGAGAACTCCTGGGAGATAATGGCACTTGGGTTGGGTGATAGGAAAGGTAAAGAGACAGTAGAGCCTGTGTCCTGTTATTCTGTCCTCTGTGCTAATTCAGTCCTGGGTAGATTTGAGTTTAATTCCATCCTCTGTGCTAATTAATCCTGGGTAGATTTGAGTCAGGTGTTCACTAGCTGGAGAAGAAGGAATGATGGATGAAGGGAAGGAGGTGAAGGAGAAGAAAGTGTGGATAGAATGAAGGAGGGAGGGGGAAGGAAGACTGGAGAGAGGAAGGGAGGGACGGTTCACTGAGGGGGAAAGAATGCATGGAAGGAGAGAGAAGTAGGAATGGAGGAGGGGAGAGTGCAAAGGAAGACTGAGTGAATGAATGTGTGAATGGAAGGAGGAAGGGAAAAAGATGAATGGAGAAGCTCCTCTGGGGCACAAGCTGGGCCTGTGGCCCTGAAGTGGATATGCAGGCTCTAAGAACAGCCACCCCAGGAAAGCTGTCTTTCCCTTTGCCTTGCAAGCCACATCTGCCTGTAGCTTCAGAGATTCACCAGGGTAGAGACCAGATCAGCTGATGGCAAACATCTGTAGGAATTTTCTAGGAAGCGGGCTAAGGAGAGCTCACCTTTATTGAACTTCAGGAGGCCCCTACTCAGCTTCAGGAGAGGGCTTCCCTTTCCCAGCAGGCTCACATCTAGCGGCCTGAAACCTCGGTGCTCTGGGACCTTCCACGTACCCAGGCTGTGGGTGGAGTGGGAGCCTGGAACCATTGTTTTAGAGTATGCCAGGTAGAAGTTGTGAAATCTTTCAAGATGTGTCTGCTGTTCATTTTGATAATGATTTGGGGGAGGAAGTGGTGGCTGGGGACCAGAACGAAGCCAAACTGGAAGACTTTCCATTCTGGTATCTAAAAATAAAACCCACGGTGATGCCTCTCCGCTACACCACCTCCTGGCATCCAGGAGTATCGTGAGAACTTTAAAATTTGAAGACACTGAGAAAGACTACAAAAACTGGACACCAAACTGCTTGACTGGTTTTTCAAAATCAGCTGGGCTTCTGTGCACCATATCCCAGGCTTTGGGTCCCTGGAAACCAGAGGTAGGCAGGGTGCCAGTTTGGGTTAGGCATGAGGTAAAGGATTAAGGTGACCATTCCCTAGCCACTCCAGCATCTCCTGTGTCAGACCCTGATGATAGGGGAGTGGCGTCTCCCTTATAGAGATGAAGAAGCTGAGGATGTTGTGGCCTCTGGGAGAGGCCAGATGATTGATGGGGTGCTGACTGTCTACTCTGTGGGCTCCTTCCTGGGTTAATAATGTAATCCCATTACAAGGTATTTCCCACCTACTGTTGCTGGCCTTCAGCTATTGTCTGAGCGGATACAGGGCCTGGGCTCAGGACCTAAACCTGAGGAACCCCTGCTAAGATGTTGTGTGTTTGTCCAGGTCATGGGAGTCATTTCCCTTCTGCTAACGAATGATAACAGAGCCAGCATCAGTGATGGGCATTTATGGGCACTGTGCTGTATCAGGAAGTGGCCGTTTCCTCCAAAGGAGCACTGGTGTATAACCTTTCCCAGGTATGGGTGGGGGCACATGTAAGAAAGCAATTCTTGCTTCAGCTTCCTCATGTATCTGCTTGTGTCTAGGGCTAATGTGCTGAGAAAGCTTGTAGGTTCTGTTGCCCTAGCCTCTCCTGCCGCATCGTCTCTCCAGGGCAGCATACTGGGTTATGAGGAGCAAGACTGTCTGGGCTCAAATTTCTGACTGTGTGACAAGCACCCTGCATTCCAGTTACCCATCTGTACAGTGGGAAAATGGTCAGGCCTGTCCCAGGATTGTTGTGAGGACAAAGTGGTCAGCACTGGGCTTGGCACACAGAAGCTGATGCCCTGCAGAGCTGCACCTCTGAATAGGACCACAGGACTCAGCCCTCAGTCATTATAGCCCTGGGAGGTAATGACAGGAGATAGCTCCCATGTCATGCTGGTGACAGCATTGAAAGAGGATCTGATGGAGCCCATGGGCCATGATTTCAATGAGAGATTCATGCAGCCCTTCCTGTGGAATTTTCAAGGAGCCCAGGGAACTGTCAGTAGAAATTTTTCTAGTTCATCTTTTTTTTCTTCCCTTTGAGTAAGTGATTTTAAATATTTTATTTATTATTTTTATTTTATGTGTGTGAGTGTATTGCCTGCATGTATGTGAGCGCACCTGTGCCGTGCAGTGCTGTGGAGGTGAGAAGAGGGCTTCGGAGTCTCCTGGAACTGGAGTTAAGGATGGTTCATAGCCGCCATGTGGGTGCTGGGAATTGAACCCGGATCCTCTGTAAGAGCAGTCAGTGCTCTTAACCACTGAACTATCTCTCCAGCCCCGAGTAAGTGATTTTAATACTTGTATTTCTAAGAACTAAAAACTAGAGATAGAATTGTTAAACTTTCTTATTCTAGCAATAGATAATATTCATCTGTGGATATATGAAATACATTTGAAAAAGTCCATTTATCTTTTCATAGTTGTATTTTTTCTTTTTTTTTTTTAAACATTTATGTCAGGAGTGGTGGCGCATGCCTTTAATCTCAGCACTTGGGAGGCAGAGGCAGGCAGATCTTTGTGAGCTCGAGGCCAGCCTGGCCTCTATTAGTGAATACAGGCCAGCTATGGCTACAGAGAGACCCTGTCTCAAAAAGACAAAAAAAAATTTTTTTAAAAATTTTATGTGTATGAGTGTATTGCTTACATGTGTGTAAGTACACCTGTGTCATGCAGTGCCAGCAGAGGTCAGAAGAGGACATCAGATCCCCTGGAACTAGAATTATAGACAGTTGTTAGCTGCCATGTGGGTGCTTGGAATCAAACCCAGTCCTCTACAAGAACAGCCAGTTCTCTTAACTGCTGAGCCATCTCTCCAGCCCCAGCATTGTATTTCTAGTAAAATTTTTTTATGGTTATTGTTTGTACAGTTTTGAGTAAATATTTCTGTCATATGGATCAATTGCATACTAATAGCTGTGATCATAATTTAGTTCAGAAATTTTTTGACATGTTAGAGCTTTATGATCATATGAAAATTCTTTTAACGAACACTTATGTACATCTATTTCTTTGGCTCAGCAGTATAGAATAGTTAGTAAAAGGTCTTCCAGCAAAAAAAGAGGATTAGAAATTACACACTGAGGGAGAAGGAATATTGTTCAATTCCCAGCTGTCAAAGAAGGGCCTGACTATACAATCTTAAAATGGACTGTGGTGGATCTCAGATCACCATGGTATTTAGATTTCATTGGATCCATTTAAGAGAGAAACAGCAACAGTTTTATTTTAAAATGTTAATATTTACAGTATGTTGGAAATTACATCCTCTGTAAGCATTTAAACTTATGATGAGAAATTTTAGATGTCAACTTTAAAAATGTGCAAATAGATACACAGTTTTAAACATTTATTTTGGGGTCTGATTTGAAGGCCATGTATATCTCAGAACCAGGTACCTCTTTGAAGAAAGACAGCAGCTGGTCTGGCTCTTGGGCCATCAAGAAGTTGCTGAGGCTGGCCCAGTTCTCCCCAGAGGGAAACCTCAGATATTCTTGGCTGTGGGCTTGTTAGAGAACTGACTGACCTTCCCTAATCTGATTTTCTGGAAAATATGTGGCTCCTTACTCAGGGCAGCTCAGGAGGGAGAGGCTACAGGTGAGCTTGACTGATCCAGGTCACTCAGGAGGAATAGGATCCCTGCTTTGTGTTTAGTGCTGGAGATCAGGAGGCAGTATACAAGGGTCAGGTGATAAGGAGCAGACTGAGCAGGCATTGCTCCTTATAGTAGCCTTCTCCTAGATACCTGTGTGGGCCAGGCCTTAGTGCTGAACTCACACTGGTCAAACCTCATCTCTCCAACTCTCTGTGACATTTGCAGTAAGTCTTCAGGGGTCCAGGTGGGCAAGGATGCCAGGACAGGTACAGGTCAGCTAGGAAAGCTCCCCAGAGGAGGAGTCTGGCTGGTGGATGAGCTTTGTCTACCCAACAGGGCCTGCCTGAGAGGTAGGGTCTATGGACCTATCAGGACTTGTCCACTCTGTAGGCCTGTCAGCTTCTAACACAGACAGATGCTAAGATGACCAAGTGCTGAGCAACACAGTGGCCATTGCCTCTTGCCTAAGGAGTCCTTCTTTGAAACAGCCTCTGGGAGTTGAGGGTCATTTGATTGAGGGCCTGGGCCTCGAGCCTCCCCAAGTGCCCAGCAAAAAGGCCTGTTACTCTGTTCTGTGGATAAGTTCAAGAATAAGAGACATGTTCTTGCCTGGAACTTCCCTACTACTTCCTCTAGTAGCCCTGAGCTTTGTGGAGGAAGATGTGAGAAGACAGTGTGTCTGCTGCCTTGCCCTGCCCACCTGTGGCTAGGTATACTAGATTCTATGCCCCTGCTCTGGCCTATGCCTGGGTGGCCATCCCACAGGGGGAGAGGACTGTTAACATGAGAGGGCCTAGGGTTTTTTTTTTAAAATGCAAATGAGTAAGCCCCAAGTGTGAGAAAGAAGTACAGTAGCCAATTATAGATTTACATCATCCTTCCAAATTCTTGGAGAATTCAGACATTATGAAATCCTGTTTTGGAGCAGCAACTGTTTCTTGGGCAGAGAAGTAAAGACGCTTCCTCAGATCCAAGAGGGAGAGGTGGCAGCAGGCCTTTCTATCCTGGCCTCTCCAGAGCTGTACTTGCTTGGGATGATGTTCTTTATATATTTGTTGGCCCCACCTCCGAAAAAGGCTGACAAGCATCAAGCCTCCTAAGA